ATTTTTTGTATAACTATTTTGTAAAGTAACTTCATATAATAGAAATAATGGTTAAATTTAATAATTGCTCAAAAACTTATAATTTCATTTTGCCTACATACGCGTGAGCGATTTAAACGCGGCGCCGGTACCTCCACTACTTTTTTTAGTTCGCAAAGAATGTGGTCCTTGCCGTAGACGGCGCTGAAAACTGTCCCCACTTTTCTTAGGAGTGAGTTTGTACACCCCAGAGATGCCAGATCGCGCCGGACAGCATCGAGAGTATCGAAGCGGGGTATCCCCACCGCCTCGATGCTGTCGTACGCATACAAGCGAGAATCGCACACGGACGCTGTTTTCGCTTGTATGCGTACGAGAGCATCGAAGGCGGTGGGGATACCCCGCTTCGATACTCTCGATGCTGTCCGGCGCGATCTGGCATCTCTGGTACACCCTGATGTAGGTGTCGGCATATTGTTCACAGTGACAGATTTCCTAACCTGAACATTCGCCAACTTTCAACTCAACAGTATTTCTCGCCAGATTCTTTCGTTTTATGCACAACCGCATCAAATGAGAGTTGCTATTTGAGGTGGAGTTCGTCAACTAAATAATTCGAAAATATAATCGAATTATTGAAACTAAACTCGCGTATTCACTCTGATGAGTCGCTAATGATACGAAGGAATGATACACACATAATGTGATGTGAACCTGTTTTTCTCTGACAGTATTATCGTAAAGTTCACCGACCCGTTGTAGGAGCGTGAAGAATTACGAGGTCGATGGAAACACGTGTGGATTGTTCCAAACACAGCTGCTACGTGTAAACGAATGGAAACAAATTTTCCATAACATATTGGCAGAGAATTCGAATGAAGGACGCGTGTGCTTTAAACACACAGACGTCAATATGTAAGCGCGTACCCTACACACATGACTAACGACGTATGTATTTGTAGAAAAGTGCACGTACGTAATATTGCTGTGTGCAATCACAGATCTTTAGCCGCGATGAAAATTTCACGCTGTATTGAGAAGGAAACAAACATTATGAGCTAAGGGATTTTCTCGCGAACTACCTCTTCTATTTTCTCGAGACTGCAAAAAAAGGTACTTTCAGTAATATAAGTAATTTTCCTTTATACGAAAATGTGTTGCAGTTCGCAATCTTGTTTTGTAGCAAATGAATAAAGCAGATAAAAAAGTACACATTTGAAAGTCTGACTCTACAGTATTTTTTCCCTTTTTTAATATATAATATTATTAACGTGTTCTTCAAACGTTTATACGAGTTTTTTGAGTAAACAATTATAACTCTACAATGTTGCTTATGTAGATTTATATTTTTGTATTATTTTGTTTAGATTTTTTATTGCTGTTTACTGAAATAAACTGTGTGTGTTTAATTTTTTAACATTAATGTTGTTGTGAATAGTATATAATTGTGACAATGACAACACCAATGTGCGAAGATGGGGGACCATTAAGAGAATGGGCACCACTGGCTACACTTTTACAACAGATCCCAGCCAAGATACAGACGGGATTATTTACACAAGATATCAATTTTACTTGCATTGCTGCTCTACCTGAGTTTATTGCCATTGGAACTAATCACGGACTTGTTTATTGGTACAACAGAGAAAAACAGGATCTTCAGAGATTACGTTGTGAGGTACTTGACATGTTTTTAGGTCTTTTGAAATCTTTTTCTATCACAATGCTGAACTAACTCAAGTTTGAAAATATGTTTTCTTTTACTTCTGTTAGAACGTAAACTCCAAAATTACAAGTGTGCAAGTAACATCCACTGTTGATTATATGGTTGCTGCTGGTTCAGATCATGGTGTTGTTACAGTCTTTCAAATTCCCAAAAATCTACCAGACTCATTGCCAGACAGTTTAAAGCCAAAACAGAAAAAACAGGTAAATAATAAAAATGCAATACTTGTATAAATGCAGAACCACAACATATGAATATCTGACTTTTATTATTTTTGCAAAGGTTGAAAGATACAGTATAAGTGGTTTGCACAACACTGTGGTAACGGCGGTAGAATGGTCTAAGAATGGTATGAAGTTATTTAGTGGAGACAAAGATGGTCTAGTGGTCTTAACAGAGATTGATTTTTATATGGTGAGTAAGAAAATTTAAATATTTTACATTAAAACCTCTCTTTTCTCAAATATATTTTCTCTTGATTTTTATAGCACTTATCTAAATCATCGAAATTGTTGAATGAAAAATATTCTGTGGTGCAATTAAGTTATCAGCAAGGTTTGCTATTAGTTTCAACTACATTACGTACAATTTTGGTGAATAGGAATGAAAATGGAAAAGTGACACAAGTTGGCCAAAAGGAACGCAAAACGTTGGTATATTATGTGATTTGTATAGTCGTGATATACACACACACATACACACACAAGAAGTTTATACAAAGTGATAAGTTTTATTGTCTTAGACTAGGTAAACTTGGCGCTGTGTTTGGTTCTCGACAAAATTACGTTCAAGAACCAGTAATCTATGCAAGTAGGCCGGGACTGCGTTTATGGCAGGCTGATAAGGCTGGGACTGTACTGAAAACACTCATATTTAAGGTATCATCACATCGATAATTTTTTTTTTTTTTTTTTTTTTCAAATTCTTTAAAGTCAAACTTCTTTGCGTTAATTATGAAATTAATGAAATTTTATAATTTGTAAAAAGGATGCGGTTAGATCAGGTCATACCGAAGTGGCGTTATTAAATCCCGCGCCCGAAGGATCGAGAAAGAATCGAAGTGAACCTTCGTTCGGCGTCGTATTGCCATTTTGTGATGATTTATTAGTAACGTACTGTGATGATGTAGTTTATGTAGTGAATCCAAATACTATTGCAATAACATCGATCGTGAATGATTTACGACACGTTACTGATGTTGCTTGCACTAAAGATGAAATATTCATATTAGAAGGACAAAGAAATATTTTACGAATTGCCTATTATCCTGAAAATAACATTTCTACGTTAGGTGAGTGTAATTTCCGTTTCTAGAATAATTTTAAATAAAATTACAAAAGTTTAACACAAACTTCAAGCAATATTTTATATATTTTTAGGTGAAACAAAAAACACTCTGGACTCTTTATCATCGTTTGCCGAATATAGTAAACCTGTTACTAACGGTATACTAGAATTGACTTCGAAATTAAAAGAAAGTAGTATAGTTCCAGCTATTCCGTTTTCTAAAATCAATCCAACCAACATTATTCAAACTGTAGGGTAAGCATGAAAGATTCATTAGTGTTTTAATTTTCTCTTTCCATTACTGTGCACATTTATTAATTACACGTACATTTATAATTAGAATAAATCAAATTTTTTAAATGTGAGATCAAGATAAAAACAATATAGGAATCATTGCAGCATTGTGCCACCTGTCACTGTTGGTACCGACGCCAATGCAATTGCGAACGCCGAAGAAGCTGTTGAAGTACCGCCAATAGTTCCCATAGACATAAATACTCCTCTCATAACGGATATTAACACGATATTAGAACATAACGACGCCAGCAAAAGAAGAAATACAGAAGATGCGAAGAGTAACGACCGACGAGAGATATTCCAAAAAATTGGCCAACAGGAATTCGAAGACGTCGTTTTTACACCTGAGAGAAAGCAGAAGAAATCTCGTAGCAAAACGGCGAGTGGAAACGATAACGATCGTCTGTCGACCAGTCTAGGCGGTGATCAATTAAACGCCAACAAGACAACGAGAACTCACTCTTCCTTAATGGAATTGAGTTTCAATGATGATTTCATTCTGAAATCGGATCGAGATTTGGAAACAATTCAACGAGATGTGGAGAACAAGGAGAAATTGCTCGCGGATGTTCTCGATTTCGACTTGTCCAAGTATATGACGAGCAATCGAATCGATAACAACGACTCGAGTATATCCAATCGCATGGACACGATAACGTGCATCACGTGCAATGTACATTCCAATAACTCGAACGAAGAGCAAGATAACACGAACGAAGAGAACGAAAATATCGAACAGAGCGATTATACTGCCGGAACGGAATCGGGAGAGGAAGACGTTAGCTATCGCACCGAATTGAAGCGATTAGAAGATCTGGGCGAATGTAGAAAAACTCTTTTACAAAGTAACTTGCTCGATACGCCAGTTGATAACACTCTCATCGATGTTCGACTGATGTCATCAATGAATCGAGACGAATTGGAACATCAGTTCAACAGTACGTTATCATTGCTAATGCGCATATGTCGCTTACGTAACGTTCGTTTTCTTTGCTATAAACTATTAGATAATATTTCTGTATTTGCAGCTCTGGCAAAGGAATGTGCCACATCCGCTGTTTTCGAAGAAGAGGAAGATTGGGTTTTGGTCAAGGATGATATACCATCGATGATGTAAGAGAGAGATCAGGTTTTGCCTCGGTTTTTTGTACATATAACATGTCGATTAGTATACTATTACTAACAGATGATATAGTTTTAGATATAATTACACGTGATATGTGCACACATAACAGCGGCACAATTTAGCTGCGATCCAAAATATGCTCGCAGTGCTGTTAGCGCGTTCACGGTCGGGTCCGATTTGCTTCGTGAGCTCCGTTTCTCATGAGCGAAATGACATCACGAGCTCATGCTCTCATGCTCACAACGCTCAGTTTGAAGGTGAATTACCGTGATCAATACGTCATTTGTGTAGGAACGAGAACACATTTGACAGAAATATTTCTGATATTTTCTTGTTAGAAATTATTATATAAACTGACAGAATTACAAGAAGTTTTCAGTGGAAGTGTTGGGAAAGTGATGAAATTTTATTTAACACAGCAGACACTGAAAGAGCAACTATAGGTCTTTTGTTTAATTTTCTTCTATTTTTTCTCTAGATAAAAAATGTAAACATGTTTTTTATTTATCTTTTTCATCACTACTTAAAAATAAATAAATTTTAAATTTTAAATCTTCATCATCATTGTTCCCTTCAAAATACAATTTTTATTAATTTCATATTAACACTGCTGTATTTTGAATATTTATTATTACAATTATCGCGATTCTCACAAAATGTTTACTGATGTTTACATATAACACAGATTATGTGTGTTATTTTACGAATTACATTCATAATAAGTACAGGCGGTCCGAAATAAAAGCGCGTTTTGAGCGTTAATGAATCGAATCGATCGTGAGCGTTGTGAGCGTGTTTCAGACACAGCCTTTGTTAAAACATTTTTTTTACTCCAATTTTTTTTGAAACGTATCTTATACTGATAGTGAAAAAGTAGATTTTGACTTTTTTTTATTGTTATCAATAAACGATAAATAATTTTTTAGTATTTCTCTGGCTTTCACTTTATTTTTATTGAAAAATAAATGATTGCAAAGTAATATATACACTTAATCTTAAAAGATGTGCAATATATTTGAACATTGTTCTAAGATTGGAAGAGAAGTAATCTGTTATAGCGGGATAGAGTATTGTATTTTGCATCAGATTACAAATATTATGGAAAATACTAGTCATTATTGTTTTGATTTTAATATAATCACATCTAATGTAATTAAAAAATACAACTTTTTACGAATTGATTGAATATTTTGTAAAATATAGTTATATTTTATGTTGTTTATTTTAGGTACTAAATATTATTGTCCGGTATATGTATTTTAGTATTAATATTATTAGTATTCTCTATTCTTGAAAATTTTTACATAAATTTGTGAAATTTTAATTTTCAACTTTGCGAGTAATGTAAATAATATAAGTCTCAGGTATGTAATTCAATACATATTTTAAACTATAAAATAATGCTTTTACACAATATTCTATATATTGCTAGAGAGAACATTCCAAGATATTATTTTTCTCTTAGTATCTAATTGCGAGAAATATTTTTTGCGCAAAAGATTTATACAAGTGCGAAGGATTAAAACAAAAGTATTGTTTAATGTAGAAGTTTACATTGTGTGCAGGTTTGCTTTGTCAGTGCATTTTGAAATGTTGGATATAAATAATTGTGTTAATAAATACTTTATGTTGAAAATCAAATAATTGTATCAAATTACTGTTTCACCAATAGTAAAACAATAAAAAAAACCGCAATTCAAAGTTGAACCACAGCTATATTTTGCTGTTAGCATATCTATACAATGCAAATAACAATCATTGTATTTAGATCGATTTATTACATAAGCTTTTATTTGACTGTTTAATAATTTACAACATACTCTGATATATTTGTGTGAGTATGGAACAATTTATCTCTTGTTATTTTATATCACTGAACCTCAATTATGCTGCGGCTTGAATGATATCAGTGTACTTTTTAATTTTGCTAGCAACACTCATATCTACATATTTGTCACCTATTGATACAAGCATACCACCGATGATGCTAGGATCTACCTTAGTAGTGAGCAAGATATTCTGACCCTTCTTCAGGAAACCTTTTAAAGCTGATTCCAGCTTACTCTTTGTGTCTGCATCCAGTGGTCTTGCTGTCACCACTTCACACACCACCTCTCCTCTATTGGCAGCCATGATCAGTTTGTACAGATTGATGATCTGATTGATTTTTGACAGTCGGCCATTCTCAGCAAGCAATATCAATAGATTCGCTGTAGCTGGGTTTAGGCTGACCTTTGAAGCAATAGCTTTGAAAGCTTCTGCTTTATCCTTCCGTTTTACCGAAGGATCTCTTACAAAGTCTGCTAATTTGGCATCCGTTTTCAACTGTCCCTATTTTATCAAATACAAATTACACATTAATATCGCAAAATGTTAATTATAACAAATTGACGCACAATAATTTGCACTTATATATAAATTACCTGAATTCCAGTCAAATCTTTTTCTACTGCATCCAAAGCCTTTTGTTTAGATGCAGCTGAGAAAAGAGCGCTCACATATCTACCTTCCAATCCGAAAACTTGAATGGGAGGCTACATTAATACACAAAGTGCAATAATAAATATACTTAATACATAATTTAGATTTACTAAGATATGTTACAACACTAAATACAATACAACATTATGAGACTCCAAAGAATAAAAACAACATGAGAGATTTCACTAATTTAGATAATTTATGTGATATCTTCTTGTGTCGTGCATCAAAAGTTTTTATATACGGCATCACGTGTCAAATGCAAAATTCGAATACCTTCACCAGCTGCTGCGAGATAACGGACGAAGAAAACTTTCGTACCTGCAATTCAAGACCAATTTATATAAGTGTGTGACAAGTAGTCAAAGAACTGACTATCAAAATACGATAAATACAAGTTTGTATATGTACATATATTTATAAAAACATCTTAGTTTCCTAAACGCGCTACACAATTTTGTAACGTTATACCGTATTACTGTTGCATGAAATATCTCTACGTACAATTATTCTGGTGACAGACATTTCCGCGAGCCTCAACAGCAGTGTACAGAAGAAATCGAATCAACGAGGAGGCACACAGTCACCATTATGTAAGTGCATAAACGAGCGTAGCAGATAAGACAGTAGAGTGACGTATCTACTGCGTATATAGCAGATTCCTGCAGTGCAGTTAGCGGTCTTAAACAAATAAAAATAATATATATATATATATATATATATATATATTCTAGTTAATTTCAACACAGAATAATTGATCAATCAAGCGAAGAATCTGATAAAACTGGCTCAACAAAAAGATTTTTTTCTTGAAAATTCACCGAGTCATCAATTTCTCCTTGACACGACGACATTGCTCGATCATCGATAATATCGTTACGAACTTTTCGAATAAATCACAAAGTGGCGCAGTCGTGCGTTAATGTCCGCGCACTGCGCACGATTCGCACCCGAAAGCAGGGATGCTAGTTTCAAGACTTTTGCAGCATGCAACAGCAAGTGGAGGGGATGCGCACACAGGCGAACAACCGTGTCCGTGTGCGCTCGGCGCTTCGGCCAACTTCGAGCAGTAGACGGAGACGGATCAAGAGGCACGGTAGTGCCTCGCGCCAAGTTCACGCGCAACGAAGTTGCGTCGAACTGTGCGAGGCACACTGTGCCTCTTATACGCGAAA